AGAAAGAAAGAAAGAAAGAAAGAAAGAAAGAAAGAAAGAAAGAAAGAGGGAGGGAGGGAGGGAGGGAGGGAGGGAGGGAGGAAATTAGCAAGCAAGCAGTTGGGTATGGTGGCACACACCTTTAATCCTAGCAATTGGGAGTCAGAGGCAGGCAAATCTCTTTGAATTCAAGGACAGCCTGGTCTACAGAGTGAGTTCCAGGACAGCCAAAAATACACAGAGAAATCCTGTCTCAAAAGACCAAAAATTAAAAGTCAAAATAAAAGAATTACAATTTAAAATAAAGTCACATAAAGACGGAAAATACACAGAGAACCTGGATACTGTATGTTATTTATTGTGTTATCTTTGAATGGCTTGATGGCTGAGAAAGGAACAACAGCTGCTAAAAGACATTTGATTATAAATGTTGCTCGATTAATTCAAAATATATATTTTGAAAATGCCTCAACTTCAAAATTTAAATCAAAAGATATGTTACTTTGGAGAAGAGGTTTTACTTTTGTTTCCACACGAAATGAGAGGCTGTGGATTTATTCTGAGTTAAGAAAAATCATGTTTCATCAAGAAAGAACCCCTGAAAAATCTCCAATAGGAGCAGAAGGGCCAGATGATCCAACATTTCAGAGGACCTCTGCTGTATTTCCCTCTGAGTTCTACATCCAGAATAGTCTCAAGACTGCTGGCTAAAATGACCATGTATCACAGAATATTCCAGGCAGGACTTGACCATAATCCTAAATTTTCTTTAGGTCCCCATAAGATAATAAGCATCCCTAAACAGCAGGAAGTAGCCTAGAAAACTATACCCACATTCCCAAAATTTGAATTATGAATGTTTTTCTTTGTTTAAAGTATTGGTTTTAAGTTGTTATGAATAATGGTCAGGAAGAAAGCTAAACAAGGGAGATTAAATTCAGTGTCTTTGTTTTGAAAAAAAAAAAGAAGGGGTAAGTGCTCTGGGATAATGCTCTTGTACCCTGTAAATCTTTGTCACTTGTATTGGTTTAATAAAATGCTGATTGGTCAGTAACCAGGCAGGAAGTATAGGTGGGACCACCAGAACAGGAGAATTCTGGGAAGGGGAAAGGTTCAGTCTGCTGTAGTCATCACCTAGACACAGAGGAAGAAAGATGAGAATGCCTCACTGATAAAAGGTACCAAGCCACATGGCTAACACAGACAAAAATTATGGGTTAATTTAAGATGTAAGGGTTCATAAGAAGCCTGGGCTAACAGGTCAACCAGTTTATAATTAATGTAGACCTCTGTGTGTTTCTTTGGGACTGAACAGCTGCGGGGCCAGGTGTAACAGAAACCTCTATCAAAACAAAACTTTCAAAGAAATAAAACCATCACACACCAAAATTAACCAGCCCTAAAATCTATACTACTTAAATTATATACAGCTAGAATTGGCATTGAAAAAGAAACTGTGAAGCTGCATATTAAATTTGACATTTTTAGTATTGAATATGTTTCATATACTCATTCACCATAAAAATAACAAAGAATTTAGAACAGAATTAAAACTAGAAAAATAATGAGCTTTATATCCTCTTTCACAATTCATGCCCATTACGTCCAATGTCAGGAAGAAATAAACCTCAGAGAATCTAGCCAGTAGTGTATGTATAAACATAAACAAATACACATGTTGGTATAATACAGCATGAAGAGAAAGAGAAAAGCTAACTATAAGGGGATAAGGAAGGACTAAATGAGTGTAACAGGCATATATTCTAATGGCATCATTAGTGAATCCTCAAAATTGCTCGTATCACAACATCATAAACAATATAACAAAATCGCACAGCATACAGTGAGATGACAGCCTTAAAGTAATGTCTTCAGGTCACTGTACCCACTTAGGGACCGCTGAACACAGCTCTACCAAAACGCAGCAAAGTAACCACGGCACCATGTTTGCCCCTCATCCATCCTCAGTGTCACTCACCCCATGTTCCTTAGCTGCTGTGACAACCCTCAGGAGAATGTCTTCCTCAACGAAAGGTCTCACGGCATCGTGGATGATCACAACGTCTGGCTGGTCCTCTGCCAGGGCTTTCAGGCCATTAAAAATTGACCTGTGGCGTGTGGCTCCGGCCTCGGCTAGTGAGATGCGCTTATGCCTGTACCTCTGGATGACGCTCCTCATTGCTTCCATGTTCTCTGCTGTCACGACCACGACAATGTCTTTTATCCAGCACACTCTGCAAGGAAAGCATGTGTACGTTTAATATAAGTGGACTCTAAGGTTCATAAAAGAAAACTGAACTCCAGTATAAATAGTATGAGTCCACATAGGGAGATTATATCTGAGCGGTCAGTTGTCATACATTTTGGTTAGGTCCAGGAGTCACTAAGCATTTCACACTATCAACTGGGTGACTTTTTTCATACTATGTATCTCACACGGCACAGTACATAAAGCACGCTATACTACATATGGGATACATTAGATTTTTTTACTTCAATTAAATTTGAAAAAAATAGTATATCTGTAAACTGTCTGAGAAAACACACAAAAGAATATGCTTTTAAATTTATATTTTTCTTATTATTTTCTCCCACAGTGGGAGAACTCAATACTTCTGAGTTCTGTTGGCCGACTATCTCAAGATGCTCCATGAGCTGCAACCAACCACTCAACTGACCTCACACCGCCCACACCCATACTAATCATGGTTCACACTGCCTGGCTCTGGCTCTGGAATCAGCAAGTTTCACAAGCTTCAGGATGCTAGTGCTAACCAGCAAATGACACTGGGGACCTGCATGTCCCAATGGCCCCAAGCCAGGACAAAGGCCTCTGACCCACAGTGTCAATTCTGAAGATAAGTCACTTAAATTTTCTAATATTTTATATTCCAACAACAACAAAAAAGCCATTTAAACTAAGAAAAAAATAGAGTTACAGGCCAATGAAATTCTATACATTATGCTAGAATAGTTACGTCCTGAAAATGTATCAAATATCAAATCCTAGATAACAAGAAAAGCACTCAACATGCATTTTGCACTTCTCTTTTTTAATTTGTAAGATAGTCATGTAATGGTGCTACACTGTCTCTGACAGAGGCATTATTCAGAAGACATTTATATGATTAATTAATATGATATACTTCTATAATTTATGTAACCGATTCATATAATGACTTTACTATCTTTCATAGTATAGAAATATATACCTCTGCATTTCTATTTCATTCAAAATTAATAAAGACAGAAAAATGCCACTTTTTTCATTGGCAATACAATATGACTTTGTTGTTTTGGGAGATTTGTTTTTTCCTTTTGTTTTCTGTCGTGTTTTGTTTTGTGTGGTTTTTATTTGTTTTGTTTTATTTAATTCATCTTCTGGAGTATAGGTCCCATGGCAACACATATCAGTATTGCTTTAAAAAAAAAACTCTTATGAAAGTGTTTATTGAACAAATAAACTACCCATATTGTAATATCTTCCAACACTTATGGGCTGGTTTCCTTGATTTTTCCCTTAGATCTTAAGTAAAAGTTAGTCTATTACTTTCATATTTTGTCAGACAGCTCAAAATGACTTCAATGATGAAAATGATACAGTAGCATAGAATCCCCAGGAGCGAGCTGCAGTTCTTACAAGGGATATGGACTCCAGAATGAGATCACCTGCAAACTGCTCCTTGGTTTGTTTAGCCCATCCCCCACACCAATCTCATCCTTCACAACTGTAACACGAGAGGCCGGCTTGCTGGGGTTTCTGTCCTGCCAGATATCCCACAGCCGGCATATACCAAAGAAAATCACACACAGGACTCCATAAGATTATAAACTGATTGGCTCATTAGGTCAGGCTACTTATTAGTTCTTATAACTTATGTTACCCCATTATCCTTATCTACGTTAGCCACATGGCTCAGTACCTTTCTCAGCTGGGCAGCTTACATCTTTCCTCTCTGGTGGTCTGGGCAGAACTGGCAGAGGGAGCTTCCTAGAATACTCCCAGTCTCTTTGCTCCACCTCTACTTCCTGTCTGGCTTTCCCGCCTATACTGCCTGCCTGGCCAATCAGCGTTTTATTAAAATACGATTGACAGATTGACAGAATACGGATAATTCTCCGGCACCACACAACTCTAGAACCTACCCTATCGCAGGAGTGTGGAAATTATCCTGTTAGCAAAGACTACAGCAATTGGCAAGTTACCACTCTTCAGTCTCTCCTCACTGTGGAATTCTGAAAGGGTGTGGCTCAGCTCCCACAACGGTGATCCATCGTTCTTTCCTGTAATCTCCTATGTCCAGTACCTAATGCAGTTCTTAATGTCCCCTCATCTTATCCCAACACAATCTATTCTTGCTACTTCTGGATGATCCCTCTCATGTTCAAACCCTGGAGCCACATTACTGGCTCTTGTCCAGGCCTTTGTAGACCTGACGCCTCCTCCTTGTCCCAAAACACACAAGTCTCCTCTCTGCCATAACCCTTTTACTTTCTGCCTAGCTACTTCCTGGAGGAAGAGTAATGGGTAAGGGTCCAAAGTGCCCCCACTGGCTTATGAATTTGAACATTTGGCACCCAACTGACAGTGCTATTTCAAGATAGCACGGAACCTTTAGGGCAAGAGGGGCAAGAGGCCTGACTAGCATTAGCATGTCACCACACCTTTGAAGGTTAAAACCAAGAAACACCCAGGCTACATTCTCTGCTTCCAGGTTAACCCTGCTGACTCATTTTCACTGCCTTCCCCATCATAACTGGCTGAATCCCCTGCAAATTAAAGCTTTTCCTCCCTTACGATAATCCTCTCACAGTGATGGAAAAACCAATTTAGAGGGAACACATCCTCCTACAAGCATGCCTCTGTGTTGCTCTTGTTTCTCCGTACCACTTTCCTCACTCTCCCATCCTGCTACCCCAAATCTGAGCCCTCCTGCTCTACAGCTGCAAACACAGTCCAGTCCAGGAAACTCCTTACCTTCCACTTCTGAAAGACTCGTCCACAAAGATTATTGAGACCATGCTGCGATCAGTAATGTTCTATCTTCCTCACTAGGCTGCCAGTTCTCAGAAAGACTGCATCCCAGAACTTGGTAAATATTTTACTTTCAATAATATTAGTTATAGAAACAGCTAAAAATGTGTAATCTTTGTTAGCGTCTGTGGACTGTGATAAGGATTTTACACACACTATCTCAACACTCAACTCTAGGAGAAAAAAATGCTATAGTCTCTATTTTACTCTTGAAGGCACAAAGACAATGACCTGCCCATAACCACACCAGTAGAAAATGAAGGGACTGGGCTAAACCCAAGCTGACTTTGGAGCTTACACCAATAACCTATATGCCCAGCTTTAATATGTTTTAAACCACTGTTTTTCAAAGTGTGCATTTCAGGGGACCTTCCTATTAAGTTAAACCTAGTGTTGTTGATTAGGTCAATTAGAAATAAGAATATAATGTAAAGCATGGAATAAAGAAAAGTCCCTGAAAAAAGTGATAATTTAGAAAACATTACTCAAAACCACTCAAAAGGTAGTAAGCTTACTATGATATTTTGTTCAACAACCCAGGATAAACCCAGAACCTGGCAAGCTTTTGTAAGTACTGTTTGTATTTCAAAGGATTTATTCACATTCTTTTCAAGTTACAGAATTAATTTTTAATTTTGTAAAACACTTTTAATAAGGTAAAATCATGAGACTGTAAAAGACCTTAAGTACCTCACACAGCGCATGCTGAGTAAATACTTACTGAATAGAAGCATCTGGTCTACCTCTGAGCTGAAAACAAGTCCACACCAAACCCCGGCAGCCCGATTCTATCAAATCCAAATGATTATTTCCTTCCTAGCACATTCCATAACAGATATAAACCTAGCCCCAGGCTCCATAACACCTACAGACATTTTGAGAAGGAAATATAATATCTCAGAAGTTATTTTCTCCTGGAATAGCAAATGTTACAAGCATACTCTGCTCAGATGGTTTAATAAAACCAGTTGAAAACAGAACAGGTACACAAATTCTTATTTAAAAACCCGGGGGAAATCAAGCCCCTGTAACACCTACCTATAAAACACTCATCCAGGCTGCAGAAATCGAGTCTTAAAGGGACAATGGCAGCTGCTGCTCTCTTTGTAGAAATTTAACTCGGGACTGCACTGTATCCACTGTCTACAGGTTCCCCCACACACACTCCATGCTCATATTGAAGATTTGGGATAAAATACTGAGGTAGTGAGGCAGCCTGGCTGCTAACCCTGAGCAACAGGAAGTCCTCTAGCTGCACCTCAGCTCTGTGAGCCATGGAACCACTGGTCTTGGCCAGGTTTTGAAGGAGTCTCCACCATATAAACAAACTGAAAAATAAAAACCACATGATCATCTCATTAGATGATGAAAAAGTTTTCAACAAAATACAACATACCGTCATGATAAAGGTCTTGGAGATAGCGGGGATACAATGAATATACCTAAACATAATAAAGGCAATACACAGCAAGCCAACAGCCAACATCAAACTAAATGGAGAGAAACACACAGTGATCCCACTGAAATCAGGAACAACACAAGGTTGTCCACTCTCTCCATATCTATTCAATATAGTTCCTGAGTTCCTAGCTAGAGCAACAAGACAACAAAAGGAAATCAAGGGGCTACAAATCATAAAAAGAAGTCAAACTCTCACTATTTGCTGAAGATATGACAGTTTACAAAAGAGACCCCAAAAATTCTACCAAAAAGCTTCTATAACTCATAAACACTTTCAGTAATGTAGCAGGATACAAGATTAACTAAAAAAACATCAGTAGTCCTCCTGTACATAGATGATAAATGGGCTGAGAAAGAAATCAGAGAAACATCACCCTTTACAATAGCCACAAAATATCTCAGAGTAACTCTAACCAAACATGTAGAAGACTTCTATGACAAGAACTTTAAATCTTTGAGGAAAGATTTAAACACTTTAAAACTTTAAATCGAAGAAGACGCAAGAAAATGGAAAGATCTCCCTCCCATGCTTTTGGGTAGGTAGTATTAACATAATAAAAATGGCAATCTTACCAAAAGCAATCTACAGATTCAATGCAATGACCATCAAGATCCCAGCAAAATTCTTCACAGACCTCGAAAAAACAATACTCAACTTCATATGGAAAAGCAAAAAACCCAGGATAGCCAAAACAATCCTGTACAATATAAGAACTTCTGGAGGCATCACAATCCCTG